ACACACCAGCCGCAGAGGTCAGAGGTGTCTTCCTGGCCTGGCAGCTAATTAGACCAACACCTAGTTCTCCGATCTCCATGCAGTGTCTATACTAGCATTTCCACAGTGCCTCCTTTAACCACTTAATTACCAACAGAGTCCAAAGTCACTGCTACGTCTCAGCTTTCTCAAATGACAGTTATATTTTGCACACAATGACAGCATCTTAAATATAATTTAGTTAAGTCTCAAATCACTTAGAAATTTATTTAAACTGTCTTTTTTGTCAAAGAATATAATTCTTTGTCTATATTACATTGATTATCTAGCATATATTTATATTTAGGCGATATAAATACTGCTTATATTACATTTATATTTGTCTACTTACTATTGAGAGGATATAGGTAACTACCCATTATCAAGAGGCAGATCTTTATGTGTTATAAGCATCGTCACTTTACTCAGGCTACAGCAAAGAAAGAAACCAGAAGTCCTTTCAAATGAAAAATGCCTGAACGCCCTGGAAGGAAAGGTCTGAACGAGAATGAAGACGAGACAGCACGGTTCATACGCCTCTTTAGCTACCTGGGCCACAAGGGCAGTGACCTCCCGCACGGAGTGGAGATGTGTGCTCAGGAAGCCCAGCATCTTAAGGAGCTTCAGCCAGGCCCAGGCTTCATCATGTCCTGCTTTTATGATAGCTATATTTCAGGAGAATTTAAATTTAATTAATTTAACTCCAAAATCAAACACTCCCCAAGATTTTCCACGTTTCCTTACTCTATTAGAAAAGGAAAGACTGTTTCATCTTTAACTACTTTTCTAACTTTTGACTTTACTTCGGGTGTTTTTAAAAAGCAAAAGGAGCGTAGAAAACCATTTCAACAAGGTAACACCCATTTTTCTTATAGTTTCATCTCAAATGTTTCCCAAACATTCCTCCATATATTGCTTCTCATTCATACATCTGTGATTCTAGTTGATAAAACTCAACGTTGAGAGAGTCCCATCATTTTCTTGTGTGTGAGACAAATTCTGCCAAGGACAGGTAACAGAAATGCTATTTTTATGGCCACTACTACCAAAAAATATGTTTTTTGATGTGCCCTAGTGATAGAATTACTAACATACCAGTGTAGATATAAAAAGGCAACTGTGTTAAGTATGACCTATCGGTACCATAGTCCCTAATAAGTGAGTAGTTTTAAATTTTTCTATGCATTTATATTTCACCTATTTTCTCTCATTGGAATGAAGATGTCTTGTCATGTATCAGAGATTCTCCCACAAGAACCCTCCAGCAAGAAGGGAATCCCAGACGATGTCGTAAATCTCCTCACTATGGGAGCCTTCCACGTTACCTTAGATATTTTTCCTATGCATTTTACTCTTTGATAGACTTTAGCTTTTGCCCTCAATCCAGTCTCCATTGATTTAAGTCCTTCCGCATGACTTTTCCTCCATAAATTTGTTTTCCCTATCTATTTGTCTCTTTTATTCCACTACACCCACACCACCCATGTGGCTCCCATCTGTCCTCTGAACACTGTATTAAACTATACCTAAAAGCTGTGTGTTTTCTTTTCTTTAACTATATTAATCATGGTGATTTAGAGAAAATAGTAATTCACAAACACTATTCCTCTGGTGGAGTCCATTTTTCCCCAAACATGACTCAAGCAGCAACCAACCCTTAATGGGATTAACTTTTTTCCTCCTGTTGGTGGCATCCCTAACGTACTCAGGCTGTGCAACATAGAGTTCCTATCCATGAAAAATAACTTTTTTTGGCATATGTTACTCCTCAGGAATACCAGAACAGTAATGTCCATGAAAATAAGAACACCACCACTTGCTTTAAGCATCCTGGAAAGTATTACCCTGTGCCTACTTTTTTAAAAAAAATATGTTTTTATTGATTTTTAGGGAGCGAGAGAAATATTGGATTGGCTGCCTCCTGCACCCACCCCAGTGGGGATCGAGCCCACAACCCGAGCACGTGCCCTGACAGGGAATCAAACCGGTGACCTCTTGGTGCATGGGACGATGCTCAACCATTGAGCCACACCAGCCAGGCTGTTTGTGCTATAGTTACTGATACTTTTTAGGGCAATTCAAGCCCTATAAAAGTCACATATTTATGAGCCCATGAGACAAAAATGACTTGCAAAAAAATAGTCAGAAAAATGTGAGGAGAAAGAGAAATAATCATAAGTATCTCCACAGCAAAAAGAAAAAGCACACAAGGGAAACCCACGTGTCAGAGGGAATCCGGCCCCTCTGCCCAGGGTGGGAGAGGGAGCCTTGCAGAGGCGACTCCGGACCGGCTGTTGCCACGGAGGTGAGCAGCTCGATTTCTTTAGTGGCTGGGCCCCTCCGCACTCCGGCAACCTGACAGGTTCTTTCCCTTTGTTCAGAAAGGGCTTTGGAAAGGCCCTGCCCCTTTCCCAGGGCACTGAAAGACGGCAGTGAGGCCACAATGTCACCAAATGACATGAGTGGGAGGGTTTTCATTCCCATCCTAAAATTAGACTCTTATTTGTGTGCTAGCACAACGGAAATAGAAACACTCGCGACGGGGCCACCAGTGCTGCTCCGACTTGCCGTGCTCTCAAACCCGCTCTCTAACCCACGCAGCTGGGCGCGCCCAGGACCCGGGGCAGGCAGGCAGGGCACCTTCCTGATTCTGGAAACCTCTAAACTCGCTCCCAAGAGGAGGGTGGTTTGCTTTGGAGAGGCTGTTTGGGGCACAAAGGAGGCTCCCAGTGCTTTTCAAACAGAGGCTGGTGCCAGAGCACTGGATGAAGAGAGCAGATTTCCCAGTAGGACTTTTAACAAATGTACTAAATTGACTTTGGCATCTCAGCAAACTGCTTATTAATGATGCAAAATCCAAACTTAACATAGAATAGGTAAGAATAGTTCTAAAAAATAGTTTTTACTTCACTGTTATGTCTGAATAGTGACTGATGTCTTCAAAGGGCAGTATTCTCTCTAATGAAACCTTAGCTGTAAATGAAGACATTACTAACAAATACAGAAATTTAACAGAAATAGAGCGATTATATGCTTTACATATTTATAGCATATTTCAAAAAATGGATTTTCTTTGCATTAAAGAACTTTGGACCCCATAAATTGCTGTTTAATTCTAAAACATTTTCCCATTTTATCATCTCTGAAATCAACAACATTCTGACGAAATGATTGACATCTTTTTTCTTTCTTAATGGTACCTATAATGGGCATCTCACAAGAGTAACACTTTAGATTCTATAAAATATAATCTTTCCTAACCATTTTTTGTGGAGAAAAAAATAAAACAATCTTCTTTAATAGAAAACAGCAATGTATTTAAAAACATATGCCTGAACACTTTATAACTTGAAAAGTTTTTTAATCTCTTCTACTCTTAACTATCTAAGTACTATGTATTTAAATACAAACACATATCAAGTATAGTTGAAGACTCTTCTGATTTCCCTTCAAGACCTCTAACGCTCACTTTTGCAGATTTTTGAAACTCAATTTTATAATCAGTCTCACATTTGTAGTTCCTTTTCCTCAACAAGATAGCACACATGCTCGCATTTCATTGCTGATGTGAGCCCCAGTTCCCACTCAAAGGAAAACTAAGCGGCATCTTTTTTTCTCTTTCTTTTCATTTGCATTCCCAGCTGCCTCTGAGATGGTAGAACCATATATGATGTTCACAATCAACTATATTTTTTAGTTTGGGGAACAGAGAAGTTTTCATCAAGGGTCCTAGCATAGTCATACTGTGAATCCAATATAAAAGGAAAATGGCAAAAAAAAATTTTGGAAATAAAAAGTATAGAAGAGCAAAGAAAAAAAATCTACATAGTACTTTATTTCATGATACAAATAAGCCCTCCTAGCATCATGAGTTTTAACATATGTGTAGTTTGAGAAGGGAAATGAGTAGATTCATTTCATTTCGTCTCATGATTTCTAGCCAGATGGGTGGCCAGTGGAAGAAAGAGAAAGGCATTCTTACATGCAGTACTCGACAGCCCACATCAGCATTAATGAGCAAAAGTCATTTAAAAATAAAACCGAATTTTAAAAGACCTAAAACGTCTTTCCAAAGCATATTAGCACTAATGTTTCTATATCTCCTCCTGTGTTATAACTAGTCTTTGTATTTTCATTTAAACTACTGTTTACTAGCTATTTCAGTTTTAATTTTTCCTTCATCACGTATGAAATAGAAACAATCACCAAAATGTGGAAAGAACATTAGCAATTAAATGCTTAATAACCTCATTTTTATAAAATATTAAAATACATGACTATCTACATGTCTGTAAAGGAAAGCAACCTAGAATCCGTAGACTAGTTCAACTCCTCAACAGGACATTTCCTAAGAACCACCACCTCAAAGGACCAACATCATTTCACCAAGATATCAGCCCACGGAAATAATTTTATAAGGAAAATATATGACAAGGCATTAAATCCCAGACAAAGTGCACTTTACATTCACCAGGGGAAAAAAACGAAGCCCCAAGTAAAAACTGTCAATTACTGTCATCACTTTGTTGCAATTAAAGATCCAATTATATCACAAAGAACTTCAGGATGTACTAATTTAATTAAAGTATGAAATCTTCAAAATAAGCTTTCCCTACCTCATAAATTAGCAACATTTTTATTTAAATACAAGTCCCTTCTCTATATTCACCAACTACATGCATAATGTATATGAGCGGTATTATCAAAGTACTTTCTACTTCTCTTCATTTTTCTCTTTACTTCTTCCTTCCAGAATTATTTTACGTGCTTATTTCAGACATCTGCATCCTTTATTATCACACTTAAGAGTCTGGATAATATGATGGCCATTATGGAAAGTAATCACACTCCACACTGATGAATGGCTATTTACAAAATGGTTTGTATCATTTAGAGAAAATGTAATTGAGATTTTAAATTCCAAATAAAATGCTACAACTCAAATGACACTGACTAGCTATGAGCTTCTGGAAGTCACCCACCTGGGGCAGCATGCGATTCTCTTCCTCCAGCTGTCTTACTCTTGCCTCCAGCTGCCTAACATAGGACAAGGTTGATTCTAAAATTGAAAAGAAAGAACTCACATTATACACACAGGTCTTGTTTGGTGCACTGTCAGGATATTTCTGGCTTGATTGATTCAAATCAGGTAGTGACGACTAAGTCTGTTATCTTAAAAAAAAGAAAAAAGAAAAAACAAGATTTCTCCCCAGAAAAACAATAACAAAAGCTATTGAAACTACAAGCAGTTTGAACAACGGTACAGTGGTGAAGAGAAATAGAGAAATTGGTAGGTGTTGAGATTGCAGGCTTTTGCGCACAGGTAGCTCTCAGAACAGGAGACATCCTGAAGACAGCTATTTCCTCTTTCCTACTTACTCTGTGCATTTTGAGCTTTCAGTGAGCTATCCCACACGTTAGACTTTTTTTTTTTTTGTAATGTTCATTGTAACCAAAATAAATTACCAGGTCATATTAAAAATAGAAAAACAATGTAATATCTAGCTCCCTCCATTTTAAGCGTTAGGACCAACATTTTCTTCTTGTCACAAATCTACAGGTAGTAAGACTGTGACCCAGAGAATGGCTAGGAAAGGGCTAAATAGTTAGTTGGGCTGCATTTTGACTTTCATTTTGGCTGTGTGTGACAGAGACCCCAGTCTCCCCCAAATCTCCAGGTTAACCAGGGCAGACGTGAAAATGATTCTCGTTTGAATTTCTTCACAAGCTCAGGTGTGCACTGAAAGTGCAGGGTCGGCGTCGTGCTTAGTTTCTGTTCCCTGATGAAATGCCTGAAGTCCACGGCTTTACATCAGGAAAGGGGTTTCATTCTGAGGGACCATCTGACAGTAGTTATTTTTCATTAAAGTGAAAATATTCAAGCACATCACATGACCACATAGCTGCCATTCGTTAGCCAAGAACCAACATTTCGGGTACAGTGAAATGTACATAACAAGAGAATCCAGAGGATATTTCCAGAGTTAGTATTGAAGCAGCAGATCCGCCTCTATGCATTTAAAAGAAGTGTTTGGAGCCCCTTAACCATCTCAACTTGGGATGACTACTGATGCAAATTAATACCTTGATCTGAAATTCATCATGGAAACAATAATTTTTATACGGAAATTGATGATATGACCACAATTCTGTATTTGTGACCTTCAAATCAACATTTTATTTTCTTAAAATATATAAGGACCTCCAGTCCTTAATTCATAAATGTAGCACCTAATCTCATCCCTGACCAATTTACAACAGCCTGTTTGCACAAATGTTTGCAGAAAGACCTTATTGCTAACATGAATATAACCACCCACTGATCTCACACCAATGGAGAAGGCAGCCTTGAGTGTTCCTCATACAAGATAGAAACACAAGGTGCAGGAAACTGAAGACATTTGCTAGAAATATACTCTCATTTTTTAGATCAATGAAATGTTGAGCTTTATGGATTCTTCCAAATGGAAACAGAAAGTATAGGGCATAAATGAATAACAAACTTATTGATTTCATGAATCTTCTTTACTCTAGCAAATGAATAAGTAATTTGCGCATCAAAACATGAATGTAGATTGCCTGATTTACAGTTTTGCATGTCCCACTTTCTAGTTTAGAAAAACAGCCACTTGAAAAGCACCATCCAAGTGAAAACTTTTCCAGAAACATTCTATTTAAACCGTGAACTAACATATTTATTTTCTCCTTTGTTCACAATTTACACTTTATCTTTATTGTCCCTATACTACACTATCCCTGGGTCTGGACTCAGCAGCTGAAATGACTCCATATACATTCAGGTGACATTTGTAAAATGCCTCTAAATGGATTTTAATTCAGTAACTTGATCTCAGTCACTTTATTTCTCCTTTTTTTAACCTTTGCAGTTTACGTATTTGATGTGATGCTTTCACTAAGTAAGTTTCTACTTATATTTCTAGTTATGTCAGTACCGAAAAAAGGGGGTGGGGGATAAATTCCTGAATTTGGAAAACATTCTCTTCTCCAACTTTTGATGTCAAATTACAGTAGATGAAGTGCAAACGTTTGTTTCAAAGCATTCACTACAAATACAGGCAAGTAGAGGAAAAGCTAGGGCATATTTTAGATGGGAAAAATAATGGGGGAAAATAGCTTCATGGTGAAGACAAGCTAAGGAGAGTTCTGAGTTCATTATCCAACACATATTTATGGTGGCACAGATTTTTGTCAGGCACTGCTCTAGAGTTGGGATGGAAAGATGACCAGTCATTGCAAGTTTTAGGTTTCGCAGAGCACAAATTCCATTTAAGGACTATATGTCCATATGCTGTGTTTCAGAAGGCTCTGTTGTTCCAGGCTCAGGCTCTGTTGCAATTATTACTCAACAATGAAGAGACAGAACAAATGAGAAAACTTTTGCGGGCAGGAGAAGAACAGAAAGACAGTAGCTGATCTGCATACATAAATAAGAGAACTCACGCTGTCAGTTGTTGACTTCATCAAGAAACTGATTATATAATCCTTTAACGGGAGTGGAGTAGGCAAACATTTTTCTAAAATACACTGTTAGGTGATCACTGATCTCAAAGACCCTTTATGAAAAGCCACTGGGGAAATCTCCCCAAAAGTTACTTTATTTTTCTTTCCACTCGGGGAAACCTACGGGCATCTACACATTAGAAAAGCAAGCTTAAGCAAATAATACCAATGTAAAAATCCAACCACATTCTCAAGATGTTCTTTGGGTAAATCTTGTGCATATTTTCAGAGCAGAAATAATTTCTCTCCATATATCTTTCTTTGAACCTACATGTAAAAGTCCACACCACTTCTTGCAATAAAACAAATGTAAGAAAAAGTCATAAGAATTACACTAAATTCACTTATTCTAAATGATTTCAATTTTAAAACTGAAATGCACCTTAGAGATTTCCTAATCTAACCGGTCCTCCATCCCCTGACTCCTTTGGTAAATGAGAGAATAACGCCCAGAAGGCAGTGAACTTGGCCCAACATTTGGGATCAGTCAAATATATTCAAAAGATTTTATTTCATTGCTGGAGCATCACAGTGATTTCCATCTTGGATCTTCTAACCATTAATATATCAAGCTTCTTACAGAGATAGTTAAATTCTAAGTTCTCCCTTTTTCTTCCTGATTTTAGATATTCTGGATGGATATTCACCTTTACAAGAGCTTGATATTTTCCTTAGATAAATATCCTGGATTCGATTTCCCTTCAATTACTCAAAATGCATTCGATCATACAAAGTAGCTCCCTCAGCTAGTTAGAAAATACGCTGATGAGCCCTGGCCAGTTTTGCTCAGTAGTTAGAGCATTGGCCTGCAGACCAAAAGGTCACAGGTTCAATTCCCGGTCAAGGGCACATGCCTGGGTTGCAGGTTTGATCCCCGACCCTGATCAGGGTCGTCCTTGGAGCAATCAGTCAATGTGTGTCTCTCACATTGATGTCTCGCTCTCTCCCTCCCCTTCTTCCACTCTACCTAAAAATTGATGGAAAAATATCCTCAGGTAAGAATTAACAAAAAGAAAGAAAATACTCTGATGAAAATATTAAACCTTCTTATTTGCTCTTGGTTTTAATGCAATGTTTCTCTCCATAGGCTAACACCCACCCTTAAAATCACCCGTGAAGGACTCTGATTGTTGTACATAAAAGGTTTACTGTTGGTAGTTGCAACTGTCTATGGTTTGTCAAACTTCTGAGTGGTCTTGATTAGATGAAGTGTTGTTGCCAAAATTTCAGGGCAGAAAATAAAATCCGGTAATGGTCCATTCCAAGATAAATTACAGCATGTGAAAGGGTGTACAGAACAATCATCTGGAGACTACAGCAGTCAGGGGCTTATAGATATAAGCTTCTCTGGGGCTAAGTGTCTGTCCCCCTTGGCCAGAAAGAGTTCAATGGCACTGACTTCAAATCTAGAGGTAATCTCTTCAATAAACCCCAAACTCTAGAGACACCAATGGTTTTAGTCCCAAATTCATCCCACCATCCACAGGCTTTTCCACATTCCTAAGGAAATTACTTCAGAATTATATTTCAAAAATTATTACTGTTCCAACTAAAAGTGTTTCTCTTCCTTCCTCAGGCAAGCAAAGATTAGCCTCCTACTTCAAATTTATATTAACTCCAGAAGTATAAGTGATTACATTTCTCTCTATAATTTGATACTCATTTTTTAAAATTCTTGCTGGGATCAGCACTTTCCGATTTGCCTGGACATTAACTCAAGGCTGCTTTATTGACAGAAGTGAGTCAGGTACTGCTCCTGTCTATTGTCTGTGAAGTTAACACTACTTACCTTAAACCATTCTTTCCATGCTTATCCTGAAAGAAATATGAGGTGGTTATTTTCTATGCTGTTCCTCCCACATAAAAACCTATTCATGGCTATTCATTGGCTTCAACTTCTCTTAGCTCTGGGTGTCTGCCCACACCTTCCCAGCCAAATACTCGATCCACTCTGCCCAATCCAATACTTCTTATTCTTCTATGCATTTTTATAAAAAATAGCTTTCTAATCATCAGAATATCCAAAGAGTGAAAAATACGATAATGTACATCATGTTAATGGAGTTGTTCAGAGAAAGATCAATGCGATCCTGCCAAGATTTCTACCTGTGTATGCTATCGGGCTGGTCCCTTTAACTCCGAAATTCAATAATTCTACAATTTTCAATTATTCCCACTCCATGGATTTCTTTTGGTTTTCCTTCTTCTCATTTGCTGATACATCATATATTGATTCACTTTGATTTATCTTTACTTCTTTTCATATCTTCACTTTAACACATACTTGATTTACTTTGACATCAAGACTTCTTCACTCAGTAGTGATTACCTGCTGTGTGCTAGATGCTGTTCTAGATACTGGGGATACAGCAGCCAGCAAGCTCTGCGCATTGATGGAGGTCCCCTCAGTGAGGAAGACAGACAACAAAAAGCCAACAGGATATTCTGTGAAGGCGATATATGCAATAAAGACAACCATACAGAGAGATGTGAGGACGTACAGCTACATTAGGGAGCATGGGCTGGGAAGAGCTCTCT